CAAATTGTATCAAGGCAACGGTTAAAACAGAAAAGACAGTGTTAGGAAGTCTGATTATGCGCATGGAAATGGTGTTGATAGATTGTATTGAGTAAAGGGAATTAGGATTAATAGGTTTTATCTGGAAATATTGAATAATATGTTGCTATAAGTGTCAAGGGTTGATCAACCATTGGTTTTTCAGTATGATAAAAATCCAGCAATTCAGAGCCTCCGATGAATAGAAGAATATTAGATTGTCGTTGTGATCGGCATGTTCGCCGGACCTTAATTGCGATAAATTGCCGAAAATAATATGCAATAAAATACTCTTACAAAAATGAATTATCTCTCCAAAATGTGATAGAATATTGGGGAAAATCCCATTGGAAGCAGTAAAGAAACAATTTGCACCAATAAAATCCGTAGATATGATGCATTAGCGTTTGCTTTTTCATTTACTCTATATTTGTTTGCGTTTGTTAAATGGTTAATGGAATGTATCTAAGCAAATTCGCCACAGTATTTTTTCAAGTTAATAATAGATTATTATATATAAATCATTCATGTTAGACTATTATGATAACCTGAATTCGCTTTGGGGGTATGGATCTTATTGAAAAACCTCCTATCGTGGTGGGATTTTTGTTAGCACAATTGAAAATACCTGAAAATTCCATTTTACATTTGAATATTATTTATAAATGTGGTATCCATACTGTCACTCCTAGCCATAATAATGATCATAGTTTTATATGTTAGCTTGAGTGTTTGTAACAAAAGCAAAAACATTAACTGCCGTATCAAATAATTATGACTTTTTAGTCTGCAAAGTAATATTTTTTTTACAAATTATTTTATAAACACATTTTTACGAAATAAACGCATGAAAAATGATTGAAATTTTCGTTTCTTTTTTTATTCTTTCTTTTTCTAAATTTCCAAACTTCTTTACGAAAAGGTTTTCTGAACTATACGTTGCATGTTCAAAAATCAACATTGGAATCTTGAGAGCAGAGATTAGTAGGAGTACAAATAAAGCAAATAATGTAAGAAACAGCTGTTTCAACAAGGTATGTCTGGTTGTCAGCAAGAGGAAGAGCCGAAGATGTTAACTACAAATTAGAGAAAAAGTAAGTACTAAAATCTAAATATCCAAGAAATGTTTTAACAGAGAATGGAAAATGTGACACTGAAATCCGAAGGCTGATTATATTAGTGAAAGATTAGTAGTAAAACTTAAACAACATAAACAGGAAATTCCGTTAGAGACAAAAAGAAGTGTACCGAAATGTTATGAAGTCTCAGTCCTTCTATAGTGAATTCTAGATAATCTCCTCAGAGACGAAGAATAGACTTGAAGCAACAGAAATGTGATTCTACATAAGGATTCTGGGAATACTGTAGTCTGCGCATATGGAGGATGAGAAAGCTTTAAGAAAAATGAGAAGAAAGGACGCTTTCATTGTAATTAAAAAGAAACAGTTGGAATTTCTAATACATAATGAAGAAAGAGGGATTGGATAATCTAACACGCACATGATATAGACATCAGCAGAGTGAAACAGTGAGTAACCTACGTAACAAGCATATATAAATGGATGGCAGAACAATGACTGGAGGAGATGATGAAAATGATATAAAGGACAGGAAGTTATGGAGACCTACCATCACCCACCTCCTGAATAGAAACAACACTTGATGTTTGACTAGTTGCAGAGAAGTTCACTTTTTTTTTATTTGATCCGGGTACGGTATGGGATGCTGATGCTGTAGCTATTCTGTGTAAAGTTTCAAAGTCTTCGGACATCTTTTTGCTAGATTTTGGTGGCTTAGTAATAAAGATTTCAATTCCAGGGCCGGGTGTATAAAGGCAGATTCAGTGAAAAGAAAACGAACAATAACTGAAGATGACTGAAAAGAACAAGATGAGATTTCTGTAGACAGGGACAGCGGAATGAAAACAATCTCCCCGTAGTTTTACGAAAAGTTTCATTTCGAAATGCCCTGAATGTTACCCAGATCGGCAAACACATGAAAAGGACGGAAAGCAGAACAGCCGAAATGTTGTGATAATAAGAACGAAGATGATGACATCAGTCCAGATGTAAATAATACTCATAGCAGTTTATCATGTGTCTGAGCTTTAGACGCATGTTGCGATATGGTTCAGTGTAGTGAAAGCAGATGTCTTAGTGTCGTGCTACGGAGATGCGCACATGCTCTTTTTGTTCAGAGACTTTTGAGATGGGTTCGATTGCTGGCCTTCAATGGTCATTCCGGAGAATTGGACTTGACACATCACTGCTACTTTGATATTGGCATAAGTTATCAAATGAACATTGAAATTAAGTAGCGTTGAGACCTAGATGGATGACTGCTTGAGAATACTAAGCAGTATAAGCTTTGTTGTGCGAAATAGTGTAATAGATAAGGGTTGTGGATTGGAAATGGAAAAACTGAGTTCCATTTCCAGTCGGGTTCATTATATTCATTTAGGTGCAAATAATATTGCTAAAGTTATGAATCGACCTCTTCTCCACCCAGCCATCGTTTAATTAATAGGACTTATACCAGTAAATCATTATTATCATCGAAAATTTTTACAATCTAAATATATCCTGCCTTTAAATAGCCAGCAAAAGGTTGATAAGCAGTAAAAAACAGTCAATCATTTTTTAACGAGCAAACTGATCTCTTTAGGAATGACAATATTCTCACACAAATACTTTATGTTAAGTCCGTCACCAATTTAAATGAAAATCGTATTATCTAAAAAGGATCTATATTGAGGGACTTTCATTTTTTTCTAACTGCATTAGGAATGATTATAACAATTCGAAATCAATTTTACTTAGATAATAATAATTCCAAAGAAGATATTTTTTCATAATCACTTTTTCAATTGAAACTCTGGAATTTAAACATGTGCCATATTCAAGCTAAATCCATCGAATTATTTTGCAGTTCAAAAGATAAAGGATCATTTTTTAACCATTACGCAAACTTTTACGCAAACCTTTGCGCAAATACTGACGGGATTATATCGTTATGGAAGGCTGGTAGAACTTTGTTTTTGCTGTTGTTGATAAAAAAATAAACTGATAAATTTTCACATTGATTTTCCTTTACTTCCTAATTAATCTCTATCTATAAAAGGCAGGATGTGTGTGTGTGTGTGTGTGTGTGTGTGTGTGTGTGTGTGTGTGTGTGTGTGTGTTTGTAACGAATGCACGGCCGCAATTTTCGACGGATTTGCACCATGCTCCAAGTTAGCGGGAAGGCCAAAACCGACTTTGCATTTCCCAACTCCCATCGATAGTGGAAATAATCGATTTTTTCATGCTTCTACGCCAGTTTTCATGTAGTTTGCGGCCATTTTCTATTGGCCAGAGTGAGAGCCTATAGCTGGCTGCCACGAATAGGCAGGAAGATTCTATCAGCCAGCGTGAGAGCCAACAGTTGACTGACACGAATGTTAACTAGCATGCAAAAAAAAAATCGATAGCTGCATTCGTCACAAGTGGGAAAGATTTAAATCTGCATGGCACTTTACTCAAATTGGCTCATTCGCTTGCTTAAACTCAACGTTGATTCTGATTCTGCAGAACTGGGTTGGGTGTGAAAAAGTATTTGTTGTTAACATTCATTTTGCATTCGGTTTTTCCAGTTACGAGTCTTTTTTAAAGCTGATCGTTTTGTGTTCATTTTGTTTAGTTCTTTTTTCGTAACAGATTTAATGTTTAGTATAGAGCTTAGAAAAATTCGCAGTGTGAGATAGACAAGAAGTAAGGCATGTAGCAATATCAGCACGGAAAATGGTACTCTTTAAAGGCAAGGAAGGGCAAAAATATTTTAAGTCAAGTGATAGCGATTGCTTTAATAGTCGTACGATTTTTGAATCAAGCATGGGCAACGCCGGGCCATGCTGCTAGTTTATCAACATAAAATGCAAACAGTTGAGTTTGATTTCTTTATCTCTTTATTGGCGTTTGCTTTTGTCATTTGTGACAGAAATTCGACACTCGTAAAGATGTGGTGAAAAAAAGGACAAAGTCAGAAAGGAAGAAAGTTCGTTTTGCTGTTCAAGTTTTTATACTAAAACTGGATGGAAATCAGCGATTGTCTGTTCTCTTCTCCCCCACATGTACACAAAGTTTGGTGTATGTATGTGTGTTTATTCGTTGTTGTTATTATTATTATTATTGTTTTGCATTTTCTTTTAAATTCATCTGAAAAGGGGACACAAGACCAAAACAACATTTCTAAGATAATACTAAACAAATTCCCATGATTACTGGAAACATGCATTTTGGATTGGTTTGGATTTATGCGTAACAATTAAGTAATTGCGCGGAAAATAGAATCGATGTTCCTAAGTAGCCCGTAACATTTACTTTGCGCTGATTCCTTTTGATAAGGTATGAATCCATTTCTTCTTTCCAAAACTATGAGGTAAATAGCAGGGTAGACTGATTCATCGATCCTTGGCTGGAAGTTCGGTTAAAAGTGCAACTCTGAATTCAAAACTGTGTAGAAAGCAACAGAAAACTGTTCCACTGCCTTTCCCAAGAATACATGTCAATTCGCAGATAATTGTTGGCTGTTTTTCTTTAGTTGTAAATGGGTTATTAATACCGAAATCTAAATATTTTGATCGCTTTCCTACGCCCTCAACTACAGATATTTTGTACATAATTTAATACTTTCAGGCGAACCGTATGTTTTATAGATATATACTTTGTAGATGATTTATTGTGATATGTTTTTGGTATAATCCTGTTTCTTTAAGATTGGATATTATGTTGGCAGTTTCATAATTTCCAAATAATTTTTCATGTTGTTTTTCTTGTAGTTTTTTTTAGAAATAATAATGATTTATTAATACAAGTTCTACTAATTAATTAGTGGGGAGCGGTAGATTCATACCTTTTCCCAATGGTATTTGCGCGTAAAGGAATATAACGAACCGGATTTCCAATCCCGAGCTGTTATGCATTACACAATCTGCACATCCAAGTTTACAGAACCTGGTATTTCTAAATGGCCACCCATCTAGGTACTAACCAGGCTCGACGTTGCTTAACGTCGGTGATCGTACGAGAACCGGTGTTTCAACTTGACATGGCCGTAATCTCTGATGATAAAGAAACGAAATGCAAGAAGACTCATAATAGTTTACGTCCTGAAATGACATGGCATAAAAATCTAGATTTGCTCGGCAAGGCTCTTTATTCCGCGTCTCAGTATACAAAGTGTTTTAGTCTGTAAAAATTTATATGAATGTTCCTGCAGAGGCGATATATGTGTATTCACACAAGCGTTGTTGAAAATTTATAAACATTTTATTGGGTAACAACAGATATGATTATTGATAGAAAGTAAATTATTCATTTTCATCATAATAGTTTTCAACTGTGCGCAGGTGAGTAACTACGCATGAAGGCTTTTCTTTATTTCTTAAGCGAATTTGTAGTAATGATACACCTAATTTACTACGGATGTATATTTGGAAAGTAACTTTTATAAAACAACATTGTGCGCAAAATATCACGATTCGCTTGGGTTTAACTTCATACTACAGTTGCCCACATTATTATTTTTTAGATTGTTTTAAAAGGATTCTTGAGATATTAACATATGAATGACAATTTTGGATTTGGTAGAAGTCTGTAATAACTAGGAGAACTGATGCCTCATTTGCCGCATATAGTCTTTTGAAAGCTTAAACTAAGCTTAGTAAATATCAAAAATAGTATAAGACGATGATGAAAGCTCGTCGGATTAAGCTGCTGTGTTGTGAACAAATAAATATGTGAACACTTGTATGAAAAAAGACAAAAAACGTTTTAGCGACGTCTTTCAGATATGCTGTCGCCTGCGGGACTATTTTATTTAAAGTACATAAATATACGATCGATGGAACGTTTATAAATTTCATCCTAACTAGTGTTTTCTTTGCTTCGGTATTGCGAATCAGTGATATAAATTTTGCAATCAAATCTTTTACATCTTGAGCAAAATAAACAAAATTAAACAAAAAATCATTGAAGACATTTTTATATTTTTGGAAAGATAAAACAAAAGAAAGAAAGAAAGAAAGAAAAGAAAGAAAGAAAGAAAGAAAGAAAGAAAGAAAGAAAAAGAAAGAAAGAAAGAAAGAAAGAAAGAAAGAAAGAAAGAAAAAGAAAGAAAGAAAGAAACCGGTATGTTTTAGAAATGAATGGGTAACATTTCATTTCTCTCTGTTCAATATTAGTGCTTCTCTTCCTCTACGATTGATGTTTGAGCACATGATCTACATGCGTTAATGGCGTCGATTTGATGAAATGTCAGAAATTTACAAGTAAAAGCTTAGAAAGCAATATAGCAGAATGAAATCTCTCATAATAGAGCGACAATGAGTCAGAAGGAAAATAGGAAATAAATAAATAAATAAATACAGAAAGAAAGAAAAAAGAAAGAAAGAAAGAAAACGTTATATTATGCAAAAATAATTGAAGTTAAAAGACTCAAAATTAAAAGTAAGGAGAAAAACTTTGTAAATAATGAATGAAACACTGACATGTGTAAAAATCCTAATAATTGCAATTACATTTCGGCATTATTTTCCTGAAACACCTTTACATTTCCTTCTTCCATTTCCTTTACATTTGAAATTACTTGGATTTTGCAAAAAGAGAACATTTTGTAATGTGAGATTTCATTTTGCAAGACAATAAGTCTTCACTTTGCAAAAAGAGGAGGATTCATTTATCATAAGGAGAACCCTTCATTTGGCTTAGTTTATTATTTAAATAATTGTGCTCGTAGTGCGACAAATATCGGCACCGAATGCCAAGTCGTCTACATGAGTTTAAATTTCAGCCTAGTCTGCTAAATTCACTTTCGTAAAGGAAGGCGTAAATCTGTCTGTTCTGCCACACCAGCTACGAGTTAAATAGCAGAGTAGACTGGGCTCTTTATTATTGACTAGCAGTAGAGCCCGGCGTTGCCCGGGGATATAACAGTAAGAGATAGATCAAGTATCCACCATCATAAAGACTGAAAAATAAAATTGACAAAGATTATTGTTTAAGGTTGACGGACACGCATATCTTAATTAGTTTTTTTTTTATGAATTGGTCAAACCCAAACTCAAACAAAAACATTGTTTTCAATCGTTATGAGTCTATTGATTGAATAGAATTTTATTATAAACAATTGTCTTGTAAATGGAATTTTTAAAGCATTCCGAATGTAAAAATAAAGAAAAAAGTGTGCAAGACAATAAGAAACACTACATGCCAAAAAAAAAAAAAAAAAAGAAGTGAAGTTTTGTTGAAATCGGTTGAAAAATGTAGGTAGCCTTTCTGTAATCTTTTAAGTTTTCAATTTATGATTTTTACTTATTGAATACAGTAATAAAAATTGCATATTTTGCTTGTGGTGATTCATAATTAGAATTCTGATTTGAATATATTTTCCACTCATTGTTTCTTATACAAAAATATTAACTTTATTTGGGTTTATTAATTATGATCTAACAAATCTTATTCATTTAGTAGCCTTTCTGTAATAATAATCTTTTACAATTTATGATTTTTACTTATTGAATACAGTAAAAAAAATTGGACACCATGTGTATTTAAACTAAAGTAGTTTCCGGTTATTATTTTTAGTTAGGAGGGCTTGTGTATGTTTAGATTTCATTATCTTTCCCTAAAGATAAAGAATTTATTCCGATGTTTGTATTCGTACAATCAGTAGAGATCGTTAGATTATTGTTTAAGGTTGACGGACACGCATGTCTTAATTAGTTTTTTTTAGTTTTTACAAATTGGTCAAACTCAAACAAAAACATTGTTTTCAATCGTTATGAGTCTACTGATTGAATAGAATTTTATTATAAATAATTGTCTTGTAAATGGAAATTCTAAAGCATTCTGAATGTTAAAAATAAAGAAAAAAGTGTGCAAGAGAATAAGAAACACTACCTGCCAAAAAAAAAAGTGAAGTTTTGTTTTATCGGCTGAAAAATATAGGAAATCCGCTCCCATATTTAAAGTAACCCACACACACAAACAAACTGATGTGAGTTGTCCCCCTTCCATTTTCACGATGTCTCTTAATCGTGTTTTCAAATTGATTTTGTGAAAAACAATTATATTTTTCCCATTTTTGGCGCTGTTAGAACCACCACAAGGTAATTTTATGTAGTCCTGTGAAGTTTTGTTGAAATTGGTTGAAAAATGTAGGAAATCCGATCCAATATATAAACGTTACAGACACACATACAATCTGCGTTTTATAAGTAAGATAAGACGTAAAAACTCTGAGAAAATTCATTATCTTTCCGATGAATGTTTGATAACTCACAGATAATAATTAAAAGGAATCTATGAAGAGTCTTGATTGTCAACGCCCAGAAGGGATATGATATTTAAAATGAGATGATATGATAGGTATTTATTTTATAATTATTCTGAGAATTGCCCTTATTGATATTGAACATTTAATTCAAATATAAAAAGGCTACTTTTCAATTTAATTTTTAATAACATTCTGATTGAGGTTTCGTGAGAATAAACAAGTAAAAAATATTAAAAAATGTGTTACAAGATCATTTTTAATTGACTGAACGCACAAGTGTGCTAGGAATAATTAATTTGGACACATGGAATATATTTTCCAAGCTGAATAGCATTTCCCTCCACACTGTGCGTGCATTGGCCTCTCAATAACATGGATGAATGTTGAATTTCATCGATGATTCAACTTAGCCGTCTTTTATAGACACTTATGAATTTAATCATTTTTAAATGTTTTAATCGATTATAAAAATAAATACATTCTAAAAGCAAGATAACCAGAGAACTATGTTCAAGTGCAAAAGACGTAGCATAATTTATCTCGTTTATAAACTTTCCGAATTTCATCACTTACCAGGGTATCCATAATGATTAAAACATTAGCGACCTTCCGAATTAGTCCGAGTTAAATTAAATCCTGAAAATCAAGTTTGAGTAAGTTTCTGAAATGTAATATGAGATTTTGCGGATTGAATTCCTTCAATAATGCACAAAATTAGCAAAAGTAATCGGCGAATAAAAAGATAATTTTCAACATTTTGGAAAGCACTATATATTTTCACATTTTGCTAAACTGGGAAATAGAGAAGAATACAAAAAATAAAGATTTAGAGGGTTTTTTTTCCTAAAAATATATTTCATGTTTACCTCTGGTGACAACCAATTTACCTTAAAGTATTGTTTCTACCTACTGTTTGGCTGTAATACATACTACAAACAAAATCTACTCCAGTGACCTTTAGAGGTTGAATTTGAATTTATGTGCGCAGAAGATATGTGAGATCCAAAAAAAATATTAATATTTCGCTACATCTTGCTAGAAAAAAGTTTATCTTAGCTTTTAAGATCATTTTATGCTCTTTAGCGACCTCAAAAGACCCCCAATGTCAACATCACATTGCATAAATTATTACTTGATTTCTTATTTCTGCATCATAGTTGAAAATTACAGTTGGCCGAACAATTCACAGAAAACAGAATTTTTTAAATGGAAATTTCATTAAAATATCCTGGAAAACGTCCAACTTTTCATCCGATATCAAGAAATAAGGAACATTTTATAAAAAGGGTCACAATATATGGAAAAAAAATGGAAGTCAATTTAACCCATATCCTCCATTATTATTTAACCGCTGCTTCAAGGAGAAATCCTTCCCAAGTCTGTGGAAGCGTATGTTCAATTTTCAAGAACGCGGGTGAGTGCTCATCCTACCTCTCAGTTTAGACACATCAGTTTCCTCAGTATCATTAGCATGCTTTTTTGAGGTTATAAAGAAGGTAGCTGATCATCTAAATAGGAACAACCGCTTTCGCAAAAAAAAGAAGTATGGGTTTCGATGGGCCCGATTCACTGCTCGTGTCTTAACTGCCTTTACTAACAAAATCAATGAGGCTACAACAAATACATATCAAAGACTATCTCATTAGATAATTTCAAAGGCCTTTTACCAAGTGTAGCATAAAAGGATTACTGTACAAGCTCTCTGATGATGGCAGAGTGTTTTCAATCATAGCCTCTTCCTAACAGGGGAATCACTGAAGATAGTTGTTAACGGCCTCCGA